TGTCTGTAATTATAACATATGAATGACTTCATGCAGCATCTCTTACCAAATACTTACCATACCTTATCCTTCAGGCATGATTTGACAGCAAAAGAACCATGTTTCTAATATGTTAACATGGTTTTAATGAATAAAATGAGTTAGTCAGCACAAGAGAAGTCTGCTGACCCTTCTTTCCTGGCTGGGGCTCCTGGGTGAGGACACTTTCAGGCAGACACTGCCCATTTGTTCCACACCCTGCTTTTGTAACATATCTGATTCACTTTCAGCTGTTCATGGCCTGCCACAACTTTAATGGGAAAACCACTACAAGTTGAACATGGGCTTACAATCTCCACAAAGACCCAATGAGCACAGCTGCACTGGGCTGTGGAAAAGGGTGTAGATTCTCATCAGGCAAACCAGGTTTTCACCTCAGCTCCTCCACTTTGTAGCCTCATAGCTTTGGGTAAGTAATTCCAAAACTCAAAGTTGTGTCTGGTAAATGTAGACAGGATACCCACCTTGCTGGGCTAATGTCAAGATTACATGAAATGACAGGTCACATACCTAGTAGAGTGCCTCGCATGTAGAAGGTGCTCAGTAAATGGCAGTACTTTATCTCTCCCCATTAGAGAAAACACACACAGACACACAGATTTACAAAGCAACAGTGCAAACGGCTACAGCTCTGAGGGAACAAGGGGTACAGAAGTAATTCAACGTGGCCAAGAAGGTCAGAAAGTTCTAGATCATTTTCCTCAGAAAAGCCTCTGGAAGGGCCAGCTCCATAGATCTAAGATTACAGAAGTTCTCCTGGCCTCTTGTGGATTCAATGAAAGGACGTCTCAGTAGTGCCTCTTAATGGCTTCTTCATGTTAAGGAGGAACAGCTGCTGTTCAATATTCTCTGCACAACCTAAATGTCTAGAGAAGCCAATCGCTGAATGGCAGTGCTTTTCGTTTTAAGATTCTTAGGTAATTGTGATACATTTAAGAAGGTAAGACTTTTTTTTTTTTCCCAATTCCAACTTCCTTCAAAAATTAGAAAGGGCAATTCCTTTCTTGTAGATGGCTAAAGTGTTTTTGTGTTTATGTTTGTGTTTGCTTTTTAAGTAAATGATGACTCTGGAATGCTCCAGAAATAAACAGAGTTTATTTAAAAATAAATAGAGTTTACAACTCTGAGTCTAATGTGAAAAATTTAAGAATATTTCTTCCAGAATACTTAAACAATGCTGAGCCTAATAAACTGAGAGATTTTATGAGCATTTAGGTGGCTTAAAGTAGTCTGAACGCTTGGGGAGCTCCCATATTTTTTAAACAAGTTGGTTACTATGTAACCATAAAACAGAAGCCTCCCAATGCAATTCTAGACTTACTTTAGGGTCTCCCGGGAATTTTTTTCCAATTGATAGCTAAAAATGGTTACTATAATAATACTACTATTTTTAAGCAAAAAGATGAAAGATAAATAAGAATGGATGGAAACTAATCTTTTTTTAGTCTGTGACCTTAAGGAAGGTCAGTTACCCTCTGTGGTTAAATAATGGCAACTTACTGAATTTTTACCAACTTTACAAGTAAATGCTTTTTTAGGCTTGCTTAGATGCAGGTATCAAGTGGAAACAGCACAGGCTGCCCCATCCAGTAGGGAGGACACTGGCCACATGCAGCTGCTGAGCACGAGACATGTGGCCAGTCCAATCTGTGATGTGCGGTCAGTGTCAACACACACTGGACATCGAAGACTTAGTACAAAAAATATACATAAAATACCTCATTCATTTGATATTATACGCATGTTGACAAAATAATATCTTGACTATCTTGGGTTAAAATATATTATTAAAATTAATTTTATTTGCTTATATATTTTTAAGTGTAGCTACTAATTTAAAATGGCATTTGCTGCTTGCATTATCTTTCCATTGGACAGGGCTAGGTGAGGATGTTTCAACTTAAATAACAAGTTAGCTGTGCCAGGGTGACGGTTGGGATGTTGCTTGCTCATCGTTGCTTGCTCATCGTTTCTCTGCCTTGGGGTTTGTCATTTCTAACATGTCAAGACTTTGGATTCAATGCCTTTTGAAACCTGTACGGCTCTAACATTCTAGGACTCAAGGATTCAAGAGTTACTGTAGTGGAGAAAAGCCCCAAGGCTCGGTTGATGACAGCGCTGTAACCAAGAGGCAGGGCAGCTTTTGTCAGAGCTTGGCTCCAGACAGGGTGTTTAAGAAAAGCTCAGGGTATCCTGTACGGCCCGCCAGCAGCTCGTGTGTCCCACGGCTGGAGACAGGGCTGTCCTACTTCTTCCGCCAGCCCAGCAGCTGACAGGGTATTTGAGGAAAGCCCTGCTCTGCTGTGGGGCTGGCTCCAGGGCTCAGCACCTGTGCCACCTACTAACAGATCCGCAGTTTAGCAGCACAGCTGAGGGATGGCACGCTGTGGGCTTAAGCCCAGGGTGCAGCGGGACAGAAACACATTCCGGCTGCCGAAAGGTTCCAGAAGACTGACCTCACCCGTGTTCCACCCACACCCAGGAGCCCGAGGAGTGGAAAAAACCCGACTTGTAATTCCTACTGTGTTTGCAAGGCCCAATCCAAACTCTAGCAAACCTGAATTTTGTGATTTATCTGAGTCCTTAAGGACGCATATAACTATCAGTTTCATCCAAAGCATTATTCTTCCATATTTGTTGGTTTTCTAGAACCAGTTCAAATGGCACCTTCTCACTGAACTTGGACTCCAAGATAGAGTCCCCTCAACCCAGCATAGTACTTGGCCATCCTAACCGTCTGTCGCAAGCCACCTTCATGGTGCACTTTCCACCATTTGATGGCAGCATTCAGCAAACAACCTTGGGTGTCTATCATGTGCCAGGCACCGGGGTGCTACAGCAAATGAGATATTGTTCCCATCCTGAAGCAGTTCTCAAGGTGTGGAGGGAGCTGGCATGGAGAACACCGCATAAGATGACAAATGTGACTCTGTGGAAATGTGATGACAAGTATAGGGTGCTTGCCTTAGGAGCACCTAACTCAGGCTGGGGGGATCTGTGAAGGCTTTTTGGAGGAAGTGAATCTAACTTGGATATGAACTGACCAAGAGAGGAGGAGGAAGAAACAGTCTGCATTGAAAGAGTGATGTGCTCAAAAGGCCAGGAGGTGAAAATGAACAAGGTATGTCCCCAGAAGGCTGAAACTTAGAGGGTGAAGGAGCCAGGGGCAAGAGGTGAGCCTGAAGAGAAAAGCAGGGCCCCGACCACGGGGTCCTTGAATGCCCTGTGAGGAGCAGCTGATGGTCGCCTGAATATACGGCAGTGACCGTGAGGATAGAGCACCCAGCTCCACTCTACCAGCCTCAGCAGGGTGAAACTGCTTCCCACTCCCCCAGCATGCCACAGAGTCCCACCCAGGCTGTCTTGTCTTTGCACAAAGTATCCCTTTTCTCTTGAAGGCCTTCCTGTCCATGCCTTCTTTTTTCCATCTAGGAAATCCCACGTAGACTGATGTGAGCAGCCTCTCAGAGGTCTCTTCCCTTACAACCTTTCCCCGCCCAAGAGTGAATCAAGCATTCCCCACCCCATGAACATACTTCTTGGGCATCGCTGACTGAGTCAGGAGAGGACATCGGATTCAAAGCTTGCGTCTCGCTTAGAAACTGGGTCTGAGGCCTGCTAGTAGGTCCCTGCTAAGTGCTTTAGCCGGGAAGGCATTTAAACTTCGGATCTGTGGGCGAAGCAACTTCTCCACTGTATGCAGCAGCAGAAGCAGCTCATAGAAACAAACCATGGCTGTGATTCTTGACAACTTTCCAATGTCTTGTTCTAGTGATCAGATGATCACTAGATCAAATGATCCCTGACCAAATGCCCTGATACTGAGTGATGTGAAGACCCCCACATCTCTATAACCAATCCCAACTCTTGGTGTGAGCTAGTTGGAACAGGTTGCAGATGCTGCTATCACAGAAGTCCTGACAAAGGCACTTGTTATAGCTCTAATACTTTTATACAGCAATCACTCATTTCTGTACTAAAGTCAAAGTTCACACACATGTGACATGGGTGCTGTCACTCTCCTAACCAATTCTCAGTATAGACATGACTCAGTGATCACAGCACTCTACCTGGGCCTGACAAGCCATCACCGTGGTATTCCATGTGGTCCCGGAGAAATTAATTATTGGCACACGTGAGAAAAGTTATTGGCCATCAATGGTCTCGACTGGCACCCACTTGAGGAATGTTCCTGTGTCGTTTCATGGTTGTAATCACAATATTTAGCTCTGTGCTTGACACAAGATCGGTGTGAAATAATGCTTACTTGAAAGATAAATTATCACTTATGTTTTAACCTGATTGCTCATTCTTACCTTCACATTCACTCATTTTAGCTCTATGGAAGTAGATTCATGCTTTCCCATTTTAAGAAACAAGGCGATCAAATCAGTAGTGACACAGCTGAAATGCAGCAGTGCATCTTAGCTCAGGCACACACTCACAACCCATCTCTGCCCCTCTGTAACTTGTTCTTCTTTTTTGTCCCTGGGGATATGGTCACATTTGAAAGCTACATTAATATGGGGCATGGTTACTCAAATACTTACAGAATCAGAGCACTCTGTGCTTTCTGTCGTGTGACTTAATTCATAAAGTGGGGCCTACTAACTTATTTGTAGGCTATTTTTCCAGTTTATCCATAATTTATTACAAACTTCTAGCCAATACAAAAAAAAAATAAGGATCTAACTACAGTATGATAACCTGTAAACTTCAGGAGCAGTAAATCCTGTAAATTCCAGGGAGTGTAAACTACGGGAAATCTGCAAATTCCAGGAACTGTGTCTGTTACAGCAAAACCAAAATTGTTCCTCTCCCTACTCAATGTTTTTATCATATACAGCCCTCCAACAACATAGGCTCTTCCTTGTCCAACTGTAGCAAAAAGTCTTTTCTGATGACTGCAACAACCTATGATTAGTAAACAAAAAAGAGCATCTTAAAAATCAGTAACATACCAACTCCATTAACTGTTTGAGCTGACCTATCTCTTCTGGCAGCGATCCAAGCTTGTTGTTACTTGCAATTAAGACTTTGAGAGGCAGGCCACACAGGCAGGCAGGCAGGGCAGACAGCTGATTTCGACTGCAAAGACAATATAAGAACACATGTAAACATACATACCGTTTGTGAACATGTTTTTAACAAGCAAGGAGAAAGGGGTGACCTGAGAAGACATTTTACAGATATAAAAATCCAATAAAGTTTCTATACGTGTAATGACTCAAACCCCAAGTGTATAAGAAAAGATATTTTACAAAAAGAGAGTTCTGAGAGCAACAACTTTCCCAGCACAAGGGACCCCTGCAGAAGCTGAGCCTACGGCCAGCCAGGAGACAGACGGGCAGCACACACCCTGCTGCACCAACAGCAACAGGAAACTGCTGCCAACTGTCCTCTTCCTGACAGTGTGAGCAAGAAACTCCAAGAGGACCAAAGCAGCCGGCACGTGAAGGCATCAATTACTCCATTTTAGTAGTCACGGGGAGATCATTTTCCTGCAATTCACAAAACCCCTGGCCGATTGCCAACGTTTTGACTCACTGTGGTTCAAGTCTGTTTGGGTATCTGCAAGAGACCTAATTCAGAAACAAAAGTAAAGTTGGCCTTCTGGCAAAAGCGAAGCTGGAGCCTACAGGGGTTCAGTTTCACAGAGCAGCCTGCAAAAGTCTGAGCCCAGGTCCCACCTCAGCTCTGCATGAAGAGGTTCTCAGCTCAGAGTCTCTAAACTTTCTATCATCGCTGCTGAGTTTTCTGAGAGATGGGAAAATACTGAATAAATAAAACCTATGAATCATCCACATGTATATGTCAGCCACTATTGCACCTCTTCCCTCACAAGGAGCCATTTTCTGGATATCAAGGAAGGAAACCGATGGCTTTCAGTTGCCCTGTCTTTCTCTGCCATGCTGCTGGTGAAGCCGACAACCGGGCAATGAAATTGCTCAACAATCTGTACGACACGGTGTTGCAGTTATTCGGAACGTCTGTGTGCCTGTGCGCACATGCGTGAAGCTTCAGAGGTTGCAGTGCTCGGTGCGTGTGTTTATGGCAGGACAGACAGACGGACTGGAACCACAAAATGTTACCAGTGGCTATTTTGGGGGGAGTAGATACAATGAGTAGATTTTATTTTCTTTATTACACTTTATTGACTTCTCCAAAATCACTACAAAGTGTTTTTATAATTAGGAAATAAGTATTATTATAAAAAAATAAACTTCATCTGGATACGGGTTACATGGGTGCTTCTATTTGTGAAAATTCACTGAGATGTACACTTACAATCTGTGCATGTTTCTGTATATGCGTTATATATCCATTAAAGGTTTTACTTAACCTTCACTGTCCCATGTGAGGGGGCGGGAGTCTGGTTAGCCAGAGGCCATCTCTAGTGGATGGGCTCAGAAAAAGCAGGTGTTGTGCTCTGGAAAGACCCTTTCTACTGTGGCCGCTCCCCGGAAACCACCCTGACATCTGTCCTGCTGCAGATCCCAATGCCCAGGTAACGAGGATTTGGCAAGAAAAGATACAGCCACGTCTCCTCTGCATTGCCCAGATCTGCGAAGACAGCTATTTCCAGAAAGGAGCAGAGGAGGAGAGAGCTTTCTCTAAGAGGTTCCAGCACAGCGGGTAGGAAACTGAGGGGCCTACGGGAGTTCCTGGCACTAGAAGGACCAGCTGGCTTCTCACTGCCTCCTGGTTAGGGTGACAGGTGACAATAAAGGTGATGAGCTAAGCCTGGCACTCTCTCCTGATCTCCGGGGACAGTGGAAGGAGAAACCAGAGCTACCAGCCTGGCTGGCTGTCCACTCACGCCCTTCTTGTGCCCTGTCTCCCACATGGGAGCCCAGTGGGGGTCTTCTGGCTGGAGGAGGAGGTGCCTTGCTTCCCGGTGCCCTGCTGGGAGAGCTTTCTTCAAAGACACTACCTACCTCCTGAAAAAGAACTTAGTTTATCAAAAGGTGGCAGGTAAATAATTTGGGATATAATCTGTGGTTATAAAATACTTATTAATATGTCATTTCCTGAAGTGAGGATTGGCTAATCAGGCCAATTTTATTTTTTTGGAGCCGTACTAAACTTCCTTTTTTGAAGAGAGGATAATGGGAACAAGGAAAGATAAGTATGTTCAGAAATTTCTACATTCCTATTTTCTGCAGTTAACAATTATAGTCGGAGATCTTTCCTATGTTCCTTTACTTGGAAACTCAGATTTAAACTATTCCCAGTCTCAGTACCTGAATGTAGGCATCTCATCAGATTTGCAGACACCGAATGGGGAGAGCCAGTTATCATGCCATTTAAGCAATGCAGCGAAGGCTCCACTCATTTAGAAGCATGAGTATCTGAGACTGCATGGGATTGGTCTTCCTGGTATTCTTCCAGGGTGGGGACTAATTCAAAATAAAATAAAATTTAAGCTTGTGAAATAATTTATGGTTTCTTTGATGCAGATGAATGCTATTTATGCTAAAAGCTGCTGATGGAATAGCTATTCATTTATACCCCCACACATTCCTCTATTTACACTGTAGTTAATCACCGGTAGACAAATAAAATACCGAGGCTTCAGTCATAATACAACATGCCGTAGACCTGGGGCACATTTCTCCTACTTCATCCATCTGCTCCTCAGCCTCGCCTTTTTATGTTTTATCACAAGATGTTCCTGTATTACTTGTAATTTCCCCACTAGAAAAAGGAGATACACGTGCACACAGAAACCCATTAGCTCTCCAGCAAATATTTATAAAGGGGACAAGAAACTGTGCTCCCTTTAATCCTCTACCCACATCAGCAGCCTGAGCTTTTTGAAACCACTCATCTGGCAATAATTTTTCTCAACCAAATAAGTGCCTCAGGCTGCAATCCACTGTCAGACCCCCCACTTGTCTCTGCGGGCCTCTGTGCTATGAACAGGCCCTTCGCAGAAAGAATGTTTAAAAATAAGGCCATATAGTGTCTGGTAAGGTAATGGCCAACATTTATCTTCACATCTAGTCTGTGAGCCACATCTGAAAGCAAAAGTTTCATATAAAAAAAAATTTTAACTCATTCATTACAAAAGCAGAAATCACAGATTCGGTCTTGGTGGCCTGGGATTTCCTGCCATCACAGAGCAGAGCAGGGCCCATCCAGCATCTCCTGTCAGTCTTCCTGCTCAGTCTGGGTAGAGGATGGCGCCGCGAGAAAGGAGGAGGGGCCGGAAGGCAGCAGGCTTTAACCAGGCCATGCTTATAGCCACTGCTTGTCTTCCATCTTTCTTAGTTGAATGACTCCCTACTAGATTTGTCTGTTTCCTCATTCCAAATGAAACAAGGCAACTTAACATAGCATGAACATTTTTGATAGCCTACGAGAAGTTTGCAGGATAAATTTCTCTTGGTTTCAAGTACCAGTATCTCTCACTTAACACAATTCTTAAAAAATTCACAAACCAAGGCACTACTGTATGGTTTTACATTTAGAGAGTATTATTTTAATGTATATTGACTATGGCACTTATTTAATATTCATGTTTTCAGACTTTGTATTTGAGATAATTTATTATTGGTTTACCAGGAAATTATTATTTTTTTAATTTTATTGGGCAACAGCCATGGTCATTGGTTACACATTGCTTTCATGCTGCAATGGCATAGTTGACTCTTTTAAGGAGGGCGCAGCTCACAGTGGCCCATGTGGGGATTGAACCGGCAACCTTGGTGTTATCAGCACCACGCTCTAACCAACTGAGCTAAGCGGTCATCCCAGGAAGTTATTTTCCTTAAAGTATGTGATAAAGACATGCTATATTCTTACATGTGATTTTATTATCTGGGCATATGTATTTTATATTCTGCTGGAATATATCTTCTCTTTGTATATGGGTTCACTTTATCGAACATGGAGCTCACTTGACAGAAAATAATTTCTGAGAATATTTCTGTAACAGATTCACCTTTACTCAATTGGCAAAATGGTCACCAACTATGGAATTATAAGACCTGGTTTTGAAATCTGCCACAAATCACCAACGTGAATTTAGGTAAGTCATTTAACCTCTCTGGCTGTGTCGTTGTCCATAAAACATAGATAATACCAACCTAACAAGATGCATGAGACTATGGATGCAGAAGTGCTTAGCCCAAAACTAAATCCATATATAAAGATTAAACCAAACCCATCCATTAATGTGGCAAAGCATTGGGGAGGTGACAAAAAAAGGGCATATGTGTGCTTAGCTATGTTTTAGTTATTTTATTTCCTAATTGCTAAAATTTCAGTCACTTATAGAATATAGTTTCATATTTAATTTGTTGGAAACATAGCAATTAAAAATAAAGATGATTGCCCTAAGGCATGCTGAGGGGAACGAGGCTATAAAATTTCAGGCCAAAACAAACCATTTAACTATTTCCAATCTGGAGAACCAAGACTAGAATATGTCATCACATGAATGGCTTTTTCTCTCCCATCTTCTTTAATTCCAGGATCCCACCATTACTCTGGGAAACCATGACTCCTTAGGGATCACCATCTCTATTTATTACTCTATTTATTTCCCAAGAGTAACGGGAATAATGATATGAAATCATTAAGCATCACAAATCTATTAAGAAAATGTCACAGCATGCATCTGAACAGCCACAGAAAAAGCTGGGCAGGTTTCCTGGCGTGGGCACCCCCGGCGGCTCACCCGCTATGAGTCTCAGCAAGGGAGGGGAAGGAACAAGGATGCCATACTTATCGCTACTGTTTATTTGAATAGCATTGTCTGTGCATGGCACGTGACCTACAGTGGACAGCAATTATGACTATAGCCAAGCAAGTTTCCTTTTTCACAGGAGACCTCACCTAACTGGGTTTTTAATGTTCTTTTATGCATACCATGTTCACCTTTCATTAAAGGCATTACCTTTTTTCTGTTTTTCATATGACATTTGACTGTTCATTGTCTTCATGCACACACAACAGTGAACAATATCCATAGAGAGCCATTTCCTTTTCCTGCTCGGTCCATTCTGAAAAACCCAGCACAGCAAAAATGTCTCCCCTTGTTTCCCCTAATGACTACTTCCGCTTGGACACCAGCCCTCCCT